AGTTTGTGTATGATAGTCTGTAGTAAACTGACATATCAGTTGCTTATAGGTTCTTTGTGGTAACAAGCATTTTGTTAATGCCTTTTGTTCTGAGGAAACTTCCAATAAATTAACATTGAAGTCACCTAGTATCACAGTAGATGTATCTTCATCAGGAGTGATTGTATCAAGGAGATGATTTATAGTTTCAATTAAGTTTGTTGGTTAGCTTTGCTTTTTGACCTATAGATGCCTACTATATGTAAGTTTGGAACTGGATCATTAAGTATACGTTCAGTTAGTTCTATATTGTTCTATATTGTTAAAGTTAGATCTGAATGGTGTAGTTGCACAGTTTATATTGGATTTATTACACATAGCCATATATAACTACTTCTGACATTACTATTTGTGTTAAAGTCATTTCTAGAAAGTTTGAAACTAGCCAGTCAGCTGCTAGAACATTGTAGTCACGTGCAACATCATCAAAATGAAGAAGAAGAGATCGCACATTATGAAACAGTAGTTTCATTTTAGAAGACTGGTTGTATAAAAATGGTATGGACATTTTTTCTTGAACTTTTTGACTAATGGTTTTTTTTTCATTTAGGTTGATTATATGTAGCGTTGAACTAATTGTTACTCTACTTAAAGCAATGTAATGCATGTGCTCTGTGGTTGATGATGGTAAATCAAGTACTGCTTCATTAAGTGTATCACCTTGGCAATGATGGAAAGTCTTAGCTGCAGCTGGCTGTAAAGGATATTGTCTATGAAGTATCTGGCATTGATGTTGCTTTGATATCTTGAATTGTTTAGTTATCTCTAAAATTGGTTTCCAAGTTCTATCCACATTTATGGTAAATAAATGTACAAATTCATTGCAAAGGTTTTGACCTATGCTAGCTTCTGGGAAAGATACCCAGGTGATACTTGGCCTAGTGGAGTCTTTAACTCTGTCGTCTATTTTCTCTATAACACACTCGGCACCATTTGTCATACCATCAGTTACACTGACATTTGTTTTCAAGTCATATATTGCTCCCACAGCAATTGAAACAGAATTATATAAGCCCATAGTTTTTGTGGGATCATCTGGAATTTTTCCTTTGACTTTGTTTTTTAGGTCATCAGACATATCTCCAACAATGATGTCAATACATTTAATTTGAGCTTTTTGAGTATGTGCAGCTTGATACATTACATTGTTGTGATCATTTACTTGTGGATTTTTTTGAGTATAGAGTGTTTAATTGATGGAATAATTTTTCTTTCCAGGGTTAATTTTTACAATTTGTTCTTTAAGCGCCATAATATCATTTTGGTTGTTTTCCTTCTCTAAATCTATTTAATAGTTCTGCAAAGTCTTGTCATCTTTTTGCCTCATGATTTCAGTGAGTTCAACCAAGGTAAAATACTCACTCCAAATGTTGGTTGCTAAAGCACTATAAGAATCATTGATATTTTCAAAGATCCATTTATCAAATACTGGTTTTAATTCGAATAAGTCTCCAACTGTTATCAAGCTGAGATTTCCAAATGGTGACTTGTTTGCCATTATTTGCTGTAGTAATAAGTTAAGGAAGTTGAACATTCCATTGCCTACCATTGCAATCTTATCAATTAATATAACTTAAAGTTTTCTTAACTGTGCTTGTATTGTATGAAGTGTGTCTGTGTCAAGTGTGCAATGTTGAAATCCCCTGTTGGTAGGTATTTTAAAAGCTGAGTGAAGTGTGTTTCCTTTGATGTTAAATGCTGCTTTGCCTGTGGGAGCAACTTTAAGTACTTTTGCTTCATCTGGATTTTCACCTGGGATGCTATTTAAGAACCTTGTGGGTACTTCATAGAGGGCACTACTTTTACCAATTACAGCACCTCCACTTAAGAATAATCTGAGTGGGTCATCATTAGTTTTAATAGAGTGTAAAACATAGTAAAAGAATTCTCTCTGTCTTTTGTCTAGTGAGCGAACAAGCTGTTGATAATCACTATTGTGTGGGTGATTTTGTAGAAGTTCTTCATCATCATTATTCCTCAGTAAAATATTCATATCCTGAAATAGATCATATTGACTGTGTTGTTTGTCGGTACCTGGATCGAAACATTCAAATAACTCAGTTGGTTTTGTTTTAGCTGCAATATCTTGTTCATTCATGTGTTGTGTATTGGGAGCCACTGGTGCATTGGTATTTGTTGTTGTCATTAAGGTCTTCAGTGGTCTTGTCAAGAATATCAGAGTGGCACTTATTCTGCTCTCTGTTGCTTTTGATGATTTCTTTTACCTGTTTTTATCTTTCTTGGTATGTCTTACAGTTGTCTTTAAATCACAAGCTGACTCCTCCGCCTTGGGAATGACCCCTTGGAACATGTAAGAATCTATATAATCTTTCTTGTTCCTCACGCAAGAAGTCCAAAAGGAAATAAAATTTTGAAATTCATTTTGAACTTTGGTTTAGAAGTTCTCTATAATGGGTTAAATTCTTGGCTTACGCAAGAAAGGATGTACAAATACAGAAGC